ACAGTTCTGCATTGAATAACCCTACAAACATCCTTGCCATAGTGCTGAAGTTGCTCCAACATCAGTTCTGCATGGACTCTGGTTTTCTCATATAACTATGGGATTCAAAGGTAATGTTGGGGCACTCCTGGCTGCCAAAATAAAAGTTTGTAGTGCCTGCTCTCGAATGGAGCCTTGCTGGGCTGGCACAGGCCCTGCAGGGCTTCCTCTGGCTTAAAGCCAATCCATCTGGTGCCAGAGAGTTTAATGATCACAGCACCCCCCCCCCCCCCCCCCCCTTTGTTCAACACTAAGGGAAGCAAATCTGGCATGACAAAAAACGGGCTTTGCTACACACAACAACTCTACCCTTCCTCCAGGGACTCATTTTAACCATTCTAGCAGATCTGCTGGGAAGGACTTTCTGAGTTGCATGCATGGGTGCCGTTACAGCCCTCGGACACACATCCAATAAATGGAATCATGAACCACTGACTGAAAAGGATGCCAGAATTCCTGTCCCCTGAGAGGTTAGTTGCTTGCTTTGTGAAAAGGTGGCCGTCTCACCCACAAGATAAATTTATCCTATAGAGATAGATACATGTAAGTTTCCCCAACAGGGCAAATGGCAGCTCTCTGGGCCTACTGCAAGTCTGGCAAATGAAGCGAGGTGGGGAAAAGAGACTGCATCATATGCTCCTCAACCCAAATGGACCTGCAAATGCCTGGAAATTAAGTTCCCAACAGGAAGCTCCCACCACACATCGGATAGAATCACCTGGCCACCATGAGGCTTTTCTGGTGTAAACTGACCCAAGTCAATTATTCATGGCACTGATGTTGTTGTTGTTCGGTCGCACAGTTGAGTCCGACTCTTCGCAACCCCATGGACCACATCACGCCAGGCCTTCCTGTCTTCCATCATCCTCCAGAATATGCTTAGTTTCATGTTCGTTGTATCGATAACACTGTCTAACCATCTCATCCTTTGCCATCCTCTTCTTCTTTTACCTTCAAACTTTCCCAGCATCAGGGTCTTCTCCAGGGAGTGCTCCCTTCTCATTTGGTGGCCAAAATATTTGAGCTTCAGCTTCAGTATCTGGAGCTGTCCGGTTGAGCTGGAACAGTCCGGGTTGATTTCTTTTAGGATTGACTGATTCAATCTCCTTGCAGTCCAAGGGACTCTCAAGTGTCTTCTCCAGCACCATAATTCAAAAACATCTATTCTTTGGTGTTCGGCCTTCCTTATAGTCCAACTCTCGTAGCCATACATTGATACATTCAGCCTAACGTGGTCTTCTCCAACTGGCAGGGGTTCTGCAAGGCCTTGGGCAGAATGGATGAGAGATTTTTTCCAGCCCGGAGATCTTTCTGGACCCAGCAGAAGAGGACTTTGGTGCATTGCTATAGCTCTTCCAGTCTGAACTTGCATGTGGCATACAGTTGTCACTCCTGAGTTTTTGAACCCCAGACAGATCCAAGCAGCCATAAGCCAGCTGCTGGTTTGGCAGTGACATAGACGGGGACCACTCTTGGTCCACAGTCTTTCTCAAGGTCTCTGATTTTTTTTAGCTCATTGCAGCAATGACTTTGGTTGCATCAAGATCCCTAAGCTGTGGTGAGCCCGTACCCAAATTCATGAAGCACAGGAGAAAGCAGAGTTCTGGCCCGGATAAGGATACTTCCCGGAAGCAAAAATATGCTGTGAATCAGAGAAAGCTTTGTACCTTACAAACGAATAGACCCAGGGACAGTTAATGACTCACAAGTGTTAGAAGACACAGGTTGACTTTGGGCTGGTGTGCTGCTGATGTTTTATGTATCTTGTTATAAACCTCCTGCTATAGCAACTGTCAGCATCAACCCATCGCTTATTCAAGCAGTTGTGAATACTGATAACCTTCTGTGCCAAACAAAATCTTTTTAAATTTTACAAGTTGCTTTTTCCCTGACAGTGCTTAAAAAGGAGTACATGAAAGAACAGCATCCTTGATTTTCCTGCACAATGATGACTGGATGCTGACCAGGTGAGAGGAGTCTGTTGCAAAGCATTTCTGCATTTTAGGAAATATGGATTTTCCTGGCCACAGGTCCATTGACACACGCAAGCCGCTGAGTAATGAACATACCTATATGAGCAACCATGCAAGTTGTTCACACACACACTTAACTGCCACAGAACCAATACAAAGAAATGTGATTTTTTTTCCCCTAAAGGTCACATTGCAGATGGTAGTGCCTGCTTTCTTAAGTCTACTCAACCTGTGTCTTAACGGTTATTGTCTGCTGGCGTGGGTGCAGGGTATGAGAGGATCTTAAGTTCTAGAGTGTGTGTGTGTGTGTGTTAAGAGCCATCAAATAGCTTCTGATTTATGGCAACCCTATGAGCTAGTTTGGCATAGTGGTTAAGAGTGGCGATTCCCCACTCCTCCACATGCAGCCACCTGGGTGACCTTGGGTCAGTCACAATTCTTTCAGAGCTGCTCTCTCAAGAGCAGTTCTCAGTCAGAGCTCTCTCAGCCCCACCTACCTTACACAGGAGTGTTGTGGGGAGTGGAAGGGAAGGCGATTGTAAGCCACTCTGAGTGAAGGGTGGGGTATAAATCCAACTCTTCCTCTTCCTCTTCTTTGAATTAATGACCTTCAAAAAGTCCTATAGTTAACAGCCTTGCTTGGGTTTTGCAAACTGAAGTTCTAGAATAGGCTCTGGTTTTTCCTAGTTCAAGCACCAAATACCTGGTTCATTGATCCCACCTGAGTGCAAATAAATAATTTGTTTTAGGGAGGGCAGAAGGTGTTACTTTACTTCTCCTACTCTAGCCTCCCACAGGAAAACCAATTTCTTTCTCCAAGCTGCTGTTGCCCTTGGAATATTTTTTTTTAAAGACAGGCACAGGCAATTTACTTGTTTTTCCCCTTCCAGGTGGGTTATTAGCCCTCTTCCCCTAGTTCCACATTCCATCTACTATTTCCTCTTTTTTAAAAGGTACCCTAGAATTATGTCTACTTTGTTGGAACTGCCCCCAAGCATTTCCCCTCTGCTGTAATCACAATGCAATGCAGCTCTGCATCCTGAGCCCCACCTTCTGACTGGGAAATAAAAGAATCAGAGATCGCTGTTCTTGCTTGTATCTAACAAAGGAAGCTTTGACTCTTGAAGGTTTATACCGTGAAAATCTTATTGGACTTTAAGGTGCTACTGGACTTGTTGGGACTAGGATTGAAATTGTTTATGGGGGGGTGGGAAAGGAGAACAAGGCTTTTATTCCTGTAGGTGGCGCTGGGGACTGTGCTGAGCTTTACTAGTGTAAAAAAAGCAAAAAGTGATATTCTTCAGAGTGGGTACTCTGCCCATGCTCTAAGGATCTCTGTCCTTACCAAAAGCAGCAGGTGGACGCCTGGTTAGGATCTATGAAAAATATACAAAGTAGTGGGCAAGTTAACAGTTGCATGTTAAGCATATTTCTTAAAAGGGGGAAGAGATGGCCGGGTCTCATGAAAAGCAGATGGTAACAGCCTTAAGATGGTGTAACCGAGATATGATGCCCACATAACTGGGGTAGGCTGTAAAAAAGGGTTTTGCTTGCTCTAAGGCTACTGCAACAAAAATATAAGGACTTTTTTCCTTGTGGCAATTACAAAAGCCAGCAGTAATCCAGATAGATATTCCAGGTACTGGCTGTGTAAATCCAAGACAAAATCCGAAACCAATCACAATCTACAGAAAAGTCTATTCAAATAAATAGTAACAATAGTATTGTAATATTCTATTGAAATCAACCAAAATGGTACAAAAATTTGCAAGTTTTGAGTTCTCCAGCGTTCTTCACCAGAATCCTTAAAAAAACCAAAACACTGTGTGTTCCATTGGGTATTAGACATTTGACTGACCGTTTTTTTATATCTATGGCAGAGGCAACCATTGTTCTCAGGTTCTTCTTCCCCAAAGGCCAAGAGTGTGACCCATTCACCCAGCACCCCAAGACTACAGGAGATTTGGAATGGGAGTAGACAAAAGCCGTTAGGAGGACTATGACCTCCAGCAGCTACAGCCTCATCTGGCTACCTCTCTGAAATTCAGCAAGCCTCCCAGCCTGAGCCCCATCATCCCTCCCGGGTGTGACAGGGATATAATGAAACTGGCCAACCTTACAGGGCTGTAATAAGCATCCCTGTGGTAATAATGTATGTGAACCCTGATACAAGTGCCTTGCTGAGCATCATATGGAACTACATCCCTCATGATTCTCAGTGGGTGAAATGCTTGCCTGGTGAGAGGAGGATGCTCACAACCATAAGCCAAGCATCGCACTTTATCCCCCCTCAAAGGAATGAATGGCAGCCATTGACTCACAAGGAAAAGAAAGATTCAGGTGGGCAGCCATGTTGGTCTGAAGTAGTAGAACAAATGTTGTGTCCAATAGCACCTTTAAGACCAACAAAGGATACTTTTACACATCTATCTCCTATGTTGACATATTTACTGCCTCACTGTTTCTCCCCCAGGTAAATCCAAACAAATGGTGACTGTACGAATGTAGCTTGTTATTGCTGTTTAGTCTTTTGTATATGTCAAAACATCTTCATTAAGCTGGACACTAATTATTTCCAGTGGGCCTTCCAGCGTCTCCCATGGTTTCCAATGGGCAATCCTGTCCTTCCTTTTAGTACATCCCCACTAATTCACTGTTCACCTATGTAGAGACAGGCCTCTGCCTATATATTTGAACTGTTAGCTTCCATTGCAATGTATCTGAGGAAGTGTGCCTGCACACCAAAGCGCACACCTTGAATAAACCTTAAAGGTGCCGCTGGGCTCGAAAGGAACTGAAAGAAAAGGGTCGCCTGGCGAAGGGAGGGGGGCCCCCTCATCCCGCTCCTCGCCCAGCTGCTGAGAAGAACCTCGCCTTGGAGGGATGGTCGCCTCTGGCTTCCGGGAGGCAGCCGGGGAGGGTAGGTGTATGGCGAACCCCCCTCCCCCCCCCCGCCGCCGGGCATGTGCAGAGGCGGCTGAGGGACGGTCGGCGCCGCTGCGGCAGGGCGCTTCACGCTCGTCCCCGCCAGAGGCCTCTGGGCGAGCCCGGCCTCTTCCCCCGCCGCCAGCCGCGCTCTCTTGTGCCATGGGAAGGCGGCGGGGCGGCCTTGGCTCGACGACGCCGACGCGAAGCAGAAGCCTCCGGGCGGGGTCGGGGCTTCTAGGCGACAGACTGAGGGGAAGCCGCGGCGAGAGAGCGGCGGGCGGCCGCAGCCAGGCCCAGTCCGGCCCCCTGTCAGCGCTGCGCCAAGCAGGTAGGCGGCCGAGGAAGCGGCGGCTCCCTGGAGGTGAAACGGCCGCCGCCTCCCGCACTTAGAGGCGCCGTGGCCTCTTTCTTCCCTCACGAGGGCCCCAGAGACGGCGGTCTCCCTTCTTCAAAACCGGGTCGGGAGGATTGGAATGACGGGACCCAGTCCTCATAGGGCGTCGCCTCGAGTCCGGCAGGGCCGCCGTTTGGCCTCCCTACAACAGCCCTGCGGGGTAGGCTCAGGGAGGGCACGGCTTGCAAGCCCAGCAGCGCGTTTGTTGAACGATGCGTTTGCAGGTGTTGGGGGTTTTTTTTGGGGGGGGGGCTCTCCGCCATGGAAGCCTCGTGTGCAGCAGGCAGCCGGGCTCTCTTTGGTGGGTGTCGGCAGTTTTCCGCAAGCAGCCATAATAGCCCCTCTTCTCTCCCTCCCCCCCCGTCTCCCCCCCTTTTTTCTCGCGTCGTCCTTGAGCCCCTGGCCGGCTGGGTTGGGAGGACTGAGGCAGGGTGTGGAAGGCGGCCAGCTTTTGGGGAGGGGCTGTGGCTCAGGGGGAGAAGAGACTCTTCGCCTTGCATTGCAGAAGATCCCGGGTTTAATCCCCGGCGTCTCCAGTTAGGAAGGACCAGGCAGGACGCTTTTGTGCGTCTCCTGTTGTGTGAACACACAGAGAGGGAGGGACTAGGAAGGTCGGCTGCTGTGTTTTCTTTCAACACTTGTATGATGCTTCTGGGCCATGTGCAGAGGGCCGTGCCCTCAGCACAGGAACAAAAGTGAATGGCTTTCAATGCACATGGCCCTTTACCCGGCAAACAGGGTGAGATGTGGTAAGGGAAAACATCCCGTTGGAGACAGTGTTTTGTTGGGAGTAGTTTTTAGTCATTGAGCTGGTGCAGGATGCGATGGTAGTATGTGAAATGGAAAAGCTAAATGCACATGGGAATGACTTGAGTACCCACAAGTCTCTTGGCCATCAGGCCAAAATGTGGCAGCCAGGCTGAGCTCACCACACTGAGCACAGTTCTCAGATTCTGAAAGGTATTACTGGGTTTCTCAGCACAATTCATTGTTCCCAGTGCTGCCTTTCAGAGATCATAAAGGTACTGGATCGAGGGACCCTGTTGAAACTCCTGGACATCAGTATGGTTGTCAATTTCTAGGTGGGGGCTGGAGATCTTGCCAATTACAGCTGATCTCCAAACCACAGAGTTCAGTTCCCCTGAAGAAAATGGCTGCTTTGTTGGGTAGACTCTATGGCATTATATCCTGCTGAGGTCTCTCCCCTCTCCTAACTTTTCCACACCCCAGATCTCCAGGTATTTCCCAGGCAGGAGTTGGCAACCATGGACCCCTGAGCCTGTACAAAATGCCTTTACCTCTTCATTTTTTAAAGAAGAAAGATGGGTTGACCATGGAGGACATGCTGCTGGAGTTATCTTTGGGTACCTCCCCTTTATAAGTAATTTGTGGTTTTATGTCATAAGAGCCACAGGACTGGATGATGAAGTTCTGGCTAAACCTTAGTGCTTTTTTGTGTGGTAGTCCTTGACTCATCAGTATGCCAGACTGAGGCTTCTTGCAGAGTCTTCTGTGACATTGTGGTGTTGAAATCAAGGGCCTTTTTTGTTTGTGGGGTTTTGTCGATGCGGTTGTGAGATGGAGAATTTTTTCAACATGTTCCCATCTAACTAGAGGCTATCTTATGGTATCTGTGTGTAGAATGGGGAAGACGACGATGACCTATATTTAATAAGGCCTTTAGATATTTGATTTCAGAAGACAAAGCAGCCCAGCTCACTGGAGGTAGGGTTGTCATCTTTTGGGACTGACTCTGCTCCTTTGTATGTAAAAGCAGCCTGATAACACAGAAATGGAGCGAGAGGAACTCCCATGCTGCCCCTTTCCCCCAAGACAGGGAAAGCAGTATCCTCAAAAGATAGGAGGTCCATGTGCACACGCATACCAACTAAGCACGCTTTGCAGCTGTGTATGTCCTTACTTGGTAAAAGTTGCTTTTCAGTTGCTATTTCCAGAAGGCATCTGCTCAGATTCCTTTGGGAAACTATGAATTTGGCCAGAGACTATGATCAGTTGGGAAGAGACCTAATTTAAGCTCATTGTGTTAGATGGAACAGGGTCTGTGTTTAGGAGGTGGTTGTTTGTAAAAAAATGTTTATATCCCTCTGTTCTCCAGTCAACAGAACTCAGAGCAGGTTAACCTTAAATTGAAAAAAAAAGAATAGTCTGACAATAAATGCAAGGAAAAGGAAGCAAGCCACAACTTCTGCCACTGAAAGCACATTTATTTGGCTTTTTGCACAAGTGGCAGAGGACTAGAATTAAAAAGGGGAGGAAAGAGGAGTTTTAGGATTGCCTTGTTGGCCGAGTAGTTTCTGGAACCTCCCTTAGATTGTATCAGCTTTCGAGCCATCTGTTTATTTAATGTGGAATAATATTTGGTGTATCTATTGATGAAATCTCATTCTAGCTTCTTTCTGTGGTGCCTCATTAGTATAGCTCTTCATAATCTCTTGTTAAGGAGAGGATAAGGGTGGAATTCCTGTGTACTGTCAAGACGATGAAGAGGTGGCAGAGTTGAAGTTCCAGGAATAATTGAGAAAGTGGAGTCTGGATGAACAAGATCCAAGGTCTTTTAGAAACTTGTTGATTTTGTTAACAAAAATATTCATATTATCATAAAACACATCTCCTTACTGAGAAATTACCAACATAGCATCCGTTAAAAAAAAAAAGATTTTGGAGGAAGCCAAGAAGTTGCAGGCACAGTAACTTTAACTGTCCTAGGTAAATTGTTCTTCCATTTACTACAGTCTTGTATTTGTTAAACATATAGAAGAACAAGCCTTGCTGGGGAACAATTAGCAAGGCTTCTGCTAAGAGAAGTCCTCAGACTTCTGCCAAACTAGTTGCTGGGGGAGGGACAATGGCAGTAGAAGCCTATGGCTTTCTTGCATTGTTTATGTGTGTTCCAGAGAGATGAACCTTTCTTTTATTTTTTTTAAATAACATTTTTTAATTTTGTAAAACAACAGTGAACATACTATCATTTAACATTTAAATACCATAGAACAAGGCTTAACCGTAAGGTGTCAGTTAAAAACTGCTAATTAGGTTACATGCAATGAAAAACTTCATAATACTTTGAAGGAACAGTAAATTTGGAAGGATCAGTATTGAATATGAAGTCTAAGAAAGGAAACCATTCTCAGCACCCAGCCAGGTTTCTCTGACAGGCGTATAAGCAGGGCATGGAGGCCAAAGCCTCCCTCAGTGTTGCTCCCCCCCCCCCGCTGCAATTGGAATTCACAGGATTACTGCTGGATTATTAGGAAGGATTGAAAATTAAACTAAGTCTGAGTCCAGTGTCATCTCTAGGACCAACAAAGTTTTATTCTTTAGATACATTAAACCATTACATATAGGTTGATGGTGGGGAGGGTGTTGCCTGGAAGGGGTAATTAAAGTCAAGATGCATAAATTACCATACTTAGCAATAAATATAGCTAAGACTGGATGAAGGCAATTGGTAAGACCTGGAAATAGCTGCAAATTAGCGTATAGCGTAATAAAAGAGTTTACAAAGAGATGCGAGAACTGAATGATGTTAGCATGTATAGTGAGATAAGAAACCAATATCTCTGTTAAACCCTGGGGATTCCATTGTCCTGATTGTTGTAATAACTTGTAACTCTAGTCTGTTTCTGAAATTCCTTTGCAATAAAACAGCTACTTTGAGGTCCCCCACTGAATGTCCTGGAAGGCTCAAGCGTTCTCCTACAGGTTTCTCAGTTTTGTGATTCTTCATGTCAGATTCTTGATGTCAGTTCTTTACCTCCGTAGATTTGGGACACAACACTCAGTGTGGAGTCAGTGCTGTATATGTGCATAATAAAAATTTGGTTGCCCACCGAAATTAATGTTATGCAGTACCCCTTGGAAGGAATAGATGTGACAGCAGCCAAGCCAATTTGGAGGGGGAAATCCAAGAAAGCAAAGGAAATGGTCACAGCATGGAGCCAAAACTGCAAAGGAGCATGAGAAAGTCTTTACTCTTCATGCAGTGTGGAAGTTAAAGTATGCTCCTTTAACTAAGATATGGAGTAGAATTAAATACCTTCAAAACCTGGATGTGTTGGTCTTTTAGAACAAAAGTTTCAGCAGCTATTTCCACATGGATGATTTGCCTGAAGTCCAAGGCTTTTGGGAATCCCCACCCCCACCCCGCTTCCCCACAGCATGATGATGCTTCCATGCGTCACCCAGGTCTTGAGGAAGGCTTTTGTGCGATCTTCCCCAAACCTGGTTTTCTGCAGTGTTTTGGGAAAGATTGCATCCTAGCCAGGCTGGCTGCTACGTAGGTGGGAAAGTCTGGATTTTCCTGGTACTGCCTACTTATCAGCCATTTATCCCACCCCAATCTTTGCAGCAGAAATTCCTCCCCCTACATGCCACCAGGGTGCTTTTTATTTATTTATTTTTATCTATTTATTTATTAAATCTCTACCCAGTCCTCCCGCCGAAGCGAACTTGGCAACTGGCATATCAGTGTAATGGTACATCAGTATTACTGTTAAAGTAAAGGTAAAGGTTTTCCTTGCTTGAAAGCTAGTTGAATCCGACTCTAGGGGGCGGTGCTCATCTCTGTTTCCAAGCTGAAGAGCCAGCGCTGTCCAAAGACTTCTCCATGGTCATGTGGCCGGCATGACTAAACACCGAAGTGCACGGAACACTGTTACCTTCGCACTGAAGCGGTACCTATTTATTTACTTGCAATTTCTTGCTTTCAAACTGCTAGGTTGGCAAGAGCTGGGATCAGAGACGGGAGCTCACTCCGTCATGTGGCACTCGGGTCTTGAACTGCCGAACTACAGACCTTCCGGTCTGCAGCTCAGCATCTTAACCTCTGAGCCACCGCAGCTCCATTATGACTGTTACTGGTTTTCAAAAAAGAATATTGGGAAAAATGCCTCCCCCCCCCCCTGGTTTCTGGG